AACAGAATATTTCCACAAGTTACAGTGTTTCTCAGAGTGTGGCCAGAGGATCACCTGCAACAGATTGGCGGGCAGAGGGCTGGAAGGTTCCAAAAAGCTGTTTTCAAGTAGAGAACACCTTGAGATTCTAAGATACACTAACATTTGAGAACCATTAGTTCAAGTGTCTGTAACTTTCCCAGTTAAAACAGTTGACATTTCATCTGATGGTCTTTAACTTCTGACATTCCACCTTCAGCCACCCCTGGGGAAGATAATAACCATTCACACTTGGGATAGGGATAGTCACTGCTGCTGCTGCTGCTTCTTCTTTTTAACATTCCTTTTAACACATTTTATTGTTTCTCACAAATTAGGGAAAATATTCGTTTATCAGTAATAGAAAAATCCTTACTTTACAAAACAAGTGAAAAAGCACCAAAGAATTTGGCAACAACTCTGATGAATTCCAGTGTTAGTAATTTACAGTTCTTTTAAACTACATTGTAATTTAGTATTGAAAGCTTTCATAAAGAATACTAAATCCAGTAACTCCTGAAATGACCCATAAGAAGCATTGACTCTACTCCTTTAATTCTTCCTGTGTTCATACTTATATACTGATTTATTTCACAAATCTTCTCTTACAACTAAATGGACTGAGATTAAATATATAATACTATCTTTTTTGAAATAATAGGCATAGGGCACAAAAAAGCTTTGAGTGTTGACTTCCCCAAAAAATTGTTAGCTGAAGCTAATATAATCCACTTAAGTCAATAAACTGTGATAAGCTGGGTGCAATTAACCTTTAAATAATGTAACCCTTTGAAGATTTTAATTACTCTTATTTGCTAGAATAAAGTGGGATTATTTTGGATGTCATGGTAAAGTGCTTGTTAAAGGGAAAAAAGCCTACATTTAACTTTACTTTAGTGGTATAATCAGTAATTGTCCTGATATCTAGGCTTCATAGCTTGTAACCAAAAACAAATTAAAGGCATAATTTCAGCATTCTATAGTTGCTTTGAATTTTGAGAATAGCCAGGCATGGTGGCATACACCTGAAATTCCCAGTGGCTCGGGAGGCTGAGGCAGGGGGATCGAAGGTTCAAAGCCAGCCTTAGCAAAAGTGAGGCTCTAAGCAACTCAGTGAGACCCTGTCTCTAAATAAAATACAAAATAAGGCTGGGGATGTGTCAGTGGTCAAGTGCCCCTGAGTTCAATCCCTGGTACCAAAAATAAATAAATAAATAAATAAACTTCTTTGAAAAATAAAGAAGTTTTGAAACTTTTAGAAGTACATAAACTTTTTTTCAGACCTTTAAGTCAGTTATTATACCAAACTGTGAGCAAATAGCATGTGAGTTACTTAAAAGTGTTAATATAATCCCAAAGTACTCAAAGGTATCTTGGTAATTTAGAAGAGATATTCATCCCACCTGAGTTTAAACTCAAACATAAATCTAGTAAAGAGGGTGTGGTGGTTCAACGAAATTAAGGAATTTTTGATTTCTTTTTGTGATAAAAAAGTGACAAGAGGGGCTGGGGATGTGGCTCAAGCGGTAGCGCGCTCGCCTGGCATGCGTGCGGCCCGCGTTCGATCCTCAGCATCACATACAAACAAAGATGTTGTGTCCGCTGAAAACTAAAAAAAGTGACAAGAGAAATTTTATGTGAAAGTGAAGCCAGATTTAAAGATAGGTAGTTAGTATAGTTAGATAAAATGGAGACCATTATCAAGAATGGAGTCCAAGAAACCAGAGCAGCACCTGGGGAAAAGAACCCATCTTAAGGAACTGTTAATGAAGTAGCTCCCAGCAAACAGGTAGGTGCTAATCAAAAACCACCCCAGACCCTTCCTGCCCAGGTTAATCCTTTAGCCCACTATCTCCCACCTTTTGGCCTTCCTACCTGGATTCTATCACTGCAGGATAAAGGGAGACAAAGGACATGAATATGGGAAGACTAAAAGAAGACCTTAGCTATAAAAAAGGGAAGACCTTGCCCTTCCACGGATTCCGCCTTTTGGGTCCCCTTCTTCCTCTGGGGAGAAGTCTTTTCTGCTATCCTTTAATAAAGCCTTCTATTTTGCATTCTACACTTGCCTCGGCGTGCTTCTTTGGTGTTATACTTCAGCATTCAGGGAAGCAAGGACTCATCACCGGTAAACAGCAGTAACAAAAGTTTTAGCCATCAAAAAGTACTGCTACCTACTCATGCACAAAACTGCCTCCAAAGAGTTATCCAAGATCCCTTGCATAAAAAAAAAAAAAGTATAATCGAAGATAGCACAATCCTGTCAAATTGGACAAATGAAGTATGACTTTTCATGTGGCTCTACAGAATGTCTATATATTCAACTTTCCCCATCAGTGTTCCTGTTTCAGAAGGGAGTCTTGCTCCTGCTGGTTTTTATTAAACTGGTGTGAATGACAAAGTCAGATGCTTCTATTGTGGCCTGACGCTGGATAACTGGAAACAAGGAGACAATCCTATTGAAAAGTGTAAACAGCTATATTCTAGCTATAGCTTTATTCAGAATCTGGTTTCAGCTAGTCTACGATCCACCCCTAAGAATACCTCTCCAATGAGAAAACAGTTTTGAACATTCATTATCTCCTAGTTTGGAACATAGTGGCTCATTCCATGATTATTATTCCAGCCTTTCACCAAATCCTCTTAATTCTAGAGCTGTTGAAGACCTCTCTCCTTTGATAACTAACCCCTACAGTTACCCAATGAGTACTGAAGAAGCCAGATTTCTTACTTACAATGCGTGGCTGTCAACATTTTTGTTGCCATTGGAATTGGTGACAGCTGGCTTTTACTGCATAGGACTTGGATGTAGGGTAGCATGCTTTGCCTGTGGTGGGAAGCTAAGTAACTGGGAACCAAAGGATGATGCTATGTCAGAACACAGGAGATATTTTCCCAAGTGTCCATTTTTGGAAAATTCTCTAGAAATGCTGAGGTTTAGTATTTCAAATCAGCATGCAGACACACGCAGCTTGAATGAGAACGTTTATGTGCTCACGATCTAGTGTTCCAGTTCAGCCTGAGCAGCTTGCAAGTGCTGGTTTTTGTTAAGCGGATCACAATGATGATGTCAAATTCTTTTGTTGTGATGGTGGCTTGACATGCTGGGAACTGTTAACTCTTCTACATTTGCTAAACATTATCTATACTTTGTTTCTACTTCCTGCAGTTTCCTGTTGTCTTTCTTCCTAACTCTGCATATCTCTTTATTATACCTGGTCAACTGATGGTATTTTCTCCATAAACTTAGCCATAAAATTTCCACAGCACACACTTTCTATATTTCATTTAAAAATTTAAATAAACTGATCTTCATTTAAGAACAATTCAGATAGGATATCAGTCATGTTGTAATTTATAGATGAATCAATTTATCAAAAGACAGCTTTTTGTTATCATGACTGCCTAACAATACATTACCAACAGAATTACTGTATATTCAGAATGTACCAGAATTTACTACCTTTCTTTCTGAAAACTCAATATTTTAAAATATGGTTCATACACAAAATCATACTCCATGAAATTCAAGTTTTATCCCTTTATAAAGCTTTGTACTGGGCTGGGGATGTGGCTCAACGGGTATCGCGCTGGCCTGGCGTGCGTGCGGCCCGGGTTCGATCCTCAGCACCACATACAAACAAAGATGTTGTGTCTGCCAAAAACTAAAAAATAAATATTAAAAAAAATTCTCTCTCTCTCACTCACTCTATCTTTATTTAAAAAAAAAAAAAAAAGAAAGAAAAAGAAAAAAAGCTTTGTACTCTCCATAATGAGATTTATGTCTGCAGGGGGAAAAATAAGTAGGGGGGAACTCTTGAGGGCTGTACATCACAGTACTGGGGCTGAAAGTACCTCAGCAGGGCAGCTGCTAGGAGGCCTCCTCAGGCCAGGAAAGCAAAAGCATCTCAATGAACCAGAGCCGGGTTGTAACCAGTCAGCCAGTCAGCCTCTTCTTGACTGAAGGGCAACCCTATTTCCTCCATCACCTTGCTGTCTGTGAGATAAACACAGTAGCTCATTTAGTTGAGCCTGCTCTGATGGTTTAAAGTGTGCCTTGAAGATTTGCTCTGCTCCCTCAATCTGGAATACTTTCTTTCCCGACTCTGTCCCTCCAAGAATCATCTAGTTATGAGAACCCTCCAAGCAATCCTTCTGAAATTTGTTCATGCAAAGCCCAGCCATCTATTCAACAAATGATTTATTGAGTACCTACTATGTGCCAAGTTCTGTTCCAGGCCTGGAAATAAAACATGGAACAAGCCAGATAAAAATCCTTATCCTTGTGGAATTAATATTCTGGTGTAGAAGATAGACAATAAGTAATTAAGAAGAAAATCATGGTATGTTAGAAGGGGAAATAGGAGTGGGGTGGAACTCCAATTTCACTAACTGCAGTAGTGGCAGAGCTCACTGAGATCAGTAGGTAGAAGTTGGAGGGTGGTCCATGTGCAGGAAAGTGGGGGAAGTGGTCAAACAGGTTATGAGTGGCCAGACGGCCTCAGGTCTTGTAGGCCATTGTAAAGACTAGGGGTTTTTTTCTTTGAGTGAAATGGGAAGCCTTTGCAGTGGTTTAAGCAAAGGAGGAACATCATTCGTTTGATGTTTTTGAAACATCTGCCTGACCGTGGTGAGGAGAGAATGGACAAGAAATGTCAAATCAATAAGCTATCACAACAATAATCCAGGCAAGGCATGATGGTGTTTTGTTTTGGATCAATGATGGCAGGTGTAGAAGTCAGATTAACATTTAATTTAGTTTACCGATGTATCAAGTGAATCCGTAATACACTTCTGCAGTAATTTTTTTTTTCACATTGGATCTCAGGGAATGGTGGTTACCAAGGAAGGTGAGGGAAGATTCGAGGTTGCCAAGGAGACAGAGCCGCATAGATTTGAAAACCTGAGAGGGTTCTAGGCCTCCAAGCCTCTGGCGCAGCAATAATTCTGCAGCTAAGCCCCCCACCCGCTTCCCACTAACCATGCGCAACAGGGCAGGTGGGAGCCTATGGAAGGAGCAGGACTTTTGCAAAGTGGAACAAACGCACTCCGGGAATCGTAGTTCAGAACCGCCGCGCAGGCGCAGTGGCTGCCGCGGGCTTGCGCGCGCAGCCGCTGCGGGACGAGCTTCTGGAAGCTCATTGCGGTGGCGTTGGAGCTGGCTGCGGATGCTGGTGCAGGTACTGGTTGTCCTGGATCCCTAGTCTGGGAACTGCGACGAGTGGCCGGCTCCGAGCGCGCATCTGGGGGCAGGGTGGGGACGAGAGCAGCCAGCGGACCTGGCTGTGCACTGCGGCTGCTGCTCCTGCCGCGGGAGTCGGGCGCTGTCCTGCAGGACAGAGCCACCCGCTTCTCTCCATCCCTCCCTGCGCCCAGGGGTTCGAAACTTCGGCAGTCTTGTATTTTGGGCGGGATAATTCCTTGGGTGTGTGTGTGGGGGTGTGTGTCCGTTTTGCCAGCATCCCTGGCTTTAGCCCCTAGATACCAGTTAAAGCATCCTTCCTCTCCGGTCCAGATCACTAAAAATGTTTTCAGGTATTGCCAAATGACCCTTTTGGGACAAAATCGTCTCTCCCTTTCTTCCCCCTGGTTGAGAATCTTTGCCTGCGTCACATTTTCACTGAGCCTCTATTGTAACTCCAGGGAGACGGAGTCGAGAGTGTGTTAGTCCCAGGTGCCCTGCAGGGCGCCAGTGGTAGATAAGTGGGCGCCTAGTATTTAGCAAAGGAATAAGTGACATTATGCGTGCTGCGTTCGGTCCTCGGAAATGAGTACAGTATTGGGTACGCAAGATTATTATTTGTATAATAATTGCAGTAAGAGACGCCCATCTTCTCCGTTGCCCCGCAGTGGTTCATCTTAGGTTGTGTTGTTATTTTCTGAACCCTTGGGAGAGTGGGTCCCCCGCCTGACTAGTCCTCACAATGCTCATTCCCAGCTCATTGTAGATGCTCAGTCACTTGTAGAATGAATGAATGCATGCAACACAGCAGGCTGTGTGCATTTGGGGATCAAAGAGAGTTTCACACAAGAGGTGACAGGAGGTGAAAGGAGTCAGTTTTTAAAGAAAGAATTAAAGTTTGGTAGGAGCCTTGAAGGAGGCAGCAGTCCAAGGAGAGGGAATAGCCATCGTGCAAAGAATAGGAGAGTATAGACTGGGAATGGGGGGATATTTCTTTATGGCTGCACTGTCAATCTGCTAGCTAGAGCTGGAGAGATGAAGTCAGCCAGGCATGTTTCTTGATGGTTGTGCACACCCCTCTGCATTGAAATTATATCTGAGACGGCTGGCCAGTGCATTGAACTTTATCTGAAACAGCTGGCCAGTAAGGAAGTACAAACAGGGGAGTGACAGGATCAACTTTTGTGTGTTAGAAAAAATCCCTTGGCCATGGTGTGAGACTAGATTGAAGAAACCTGTTCTTAGGCAGTTTCAGTGCAATAGAATGGAAAGGGTCTTAGCAAATAAAGTTGCCAGAACTTGGTTATTAATGGATGTGAAGAGTAAGGAGGAAGAGAGAGTTGGTAGTCAAATATGAGATCAGACTTCTGAGTTGGGCAACTGGTGGCTGTCTACTAAGAGATGGCAGGAGTAGTTAAGTAGATTTGTGACATCATCCCCTTGGATTAGGGAACCTTTTCTGATAAATTTTGTTTATGAGGAGTATTATGAAGTCTGAATTTGCTGCTTCCTGGGAGGATATCTTTAATTATTCTTAAGTAACTCCTGAGCATTTGACCTATAAAGGAAATTGTTCTTTTAATAGAATACTTGGGTAGGGCTGTTCTAGGCCTCTGAGGTTATATGTATGACTATATGTATTTGAACCAAACCAATGTGTTCAGGATTAACAACAATTTATTTCATTTTTTTCCATGTCTTATGTTTCTTCTTGGCAGTTTCTGCAAGACTGTAAACTGGATCCCTGGAGTCCTTGATGTTTTGCTGTGTATAGTGCCTGTTGGTGGACTGTGCTGATACTTCAATAGTCTAAAGGGACCGGATTCCTGCTTGTGATTCACAGTGCAAGCTGTAGTCACCCTGAACAAGATGACAGCCATCTCCCCAGGTCCTGTGACGGTGGCCTCAAGTGAACACAACAAAGTCCCAGGAGCAGAAACTCCTGAGGACCAAAAAGCTATCTCAAAAGGAAACACTGCTGACCCAGAGTCTTTCAGACAGAAGTTCAGGTGGTTTTGTTACTCAGAAGAGGCTGGACCCAGGAAATCCCTGAATCAACTCTGGGAGCTCTGCCTTCAGTGGCTGAGACCTGACATTCACACAAAAGAACAGATTTTAGAGCTCTTAGTATTTGAGCAGTTTCTGGCCATTTTGCCTGGGGAGATCAGGATTTGGGTAAAGTCACAACATCCTGAGAATAGTGAGGAGATGGTGGCCCTGATAGAAGATTTGACCCAAACACTTGAAGAGAAGGATGGTGAGATACTTGAAGAAAAGGAAGGTGAGATTTATAGATGGAGGAAGAAAGTGGGGGGGATTTCAAGTTATGAAAATAAACTCCTCAAAGGAAGCAAAAAGAATTAGAACCATGTAATCAAAGATGAGAGATTAACATCAGGAAACTTTTGTACCTTAGAGAATGTGGGCAATCAATTCTTCCTGCAGTGTCCTCCCCTTAGAAGCCCTAATTTTGGAAAAACACTATGTTGCAATAACAGACAAATCAGAGAGAAGTCAGGAAACCCCCATTTTGAACACATCAGTTATCCATGTAACAACAAATCAAGTCTATGGTGGTAAACATTGTTTCCTTATGTATTCTAGAACTCATGGTGGAATAAATTCTGTCACTGTAGCATGGCACTTCTCCAAATTAGGGCTTCTGTGTAGAGGCTTCTGGAAACAAAGAATTGACTGCTGGCATCCTGTGAGGAAGAACAATTTTCTTAAATTACAACCCTCTTTTGATTTTGATTACATAATTCTAATTCTTAATTTTTTTCTAATTGTCTAGTTGGTAAAGCTGCCAGAAAAAATCTTTTCACAAGAAACGTGATTTGAAAAAATACTTTAAATGTGAAAAAGGCACCTGAAGTCAATTTCAGACATTTAGTTCCTGTGAGTTTAGTTTCCTCATTTCAGTCTGCAGGAATCTGCTGGGTTTCCCAAAGATGGAGTCAGTTCTTGGGACCAGCCGATGCCTTCCCTCAGTAAACAAACAGCTTTGGGTGACCCTGGAGCAATGCCTTGTGCTCAGACTAGAAAGTAAACACATTAATAAGAAAAAAGGAAAATGCCCTTTACCTTAATACATCTTTTAATTTAAAACTATTCAAAGACTCATTATTGTGTAAATTAAATATTTTGAAGCTGAGGGTTTGTGCAATAAAGGAAACCAGTTTTTGTGAAATTAGGAATTGAAAGGATTTGGGGTTAAGATAGGGAAGAAAGCCTGGGTTCTTATGGGGTACTGTAAGAACCTGTCTCTCACTATTCTTTGTTTAAAGAATGGGAAAAATTTCATGCCTTTTTTCCTGAAAGAATTGAAACCAAGAGTAATATTTTGAGATATATTTATGAGTTTTCATCCACAGTCCCTGGCTCACAGTTCCTATAACCTTGTCATTTCCTAAGTGACTGGCACAGTAAGTATCTTTTGTTAAAGTATTTATCCTTTTCTCCTGGATTCCTGAAACTTGTTCCCCAAACAACTGCAGAGCTCCCAAGGTAAAATGCAGTCTTTTTGTTATTTATAACAAACACCTTTCAGTCACATCTGAGTTTGTCAAGGAAGTGATTTTTGGAAAATCCCTAATTAGCCATCACCCTGGGAGGCTGGTTGCCATGGGAACCAACTTGTTCTGGAGCGGGAGGGTTGGAACTTGGGGCCTCCTGGAGAGTTGCTGAAGATTGAGCCATTCTGCCCGCAACTGGTGATTTTATCATGCTGGTATGATGTAGCCTCCTGAAAAACCCAAAAGGACTGGGTTCTAAGCCTCTAGCAAGCTGAATATGTGGGCATTCCTAGGGGCATAGAAATTTGGGCACATCCAGGCCTTTAGCTCCTTTCAGAGACCATGAGCCTTTTCTTAGTGCTTTATCCTAAGCAGCTCTTCTCTCTGGCTGTTCATTTATTTCATTTATATCCTTTGTAATATCGTAAGTAGTAAACGGGTAAAAATAAAAGTATTTCCCTGAGCCCTGTGAGCCATTCTAACAAGGAGATGGTTGTGGGAAATCTGATTTATAACTATTGGTCAGAATTTCCAGAGGCTAAAGCTAGCATCTGAAATGGGGGACAGTGTTGTGGGACTGAGTCCTCAACCTGTGGAATCTGGTGCTCTCTCCGGGTAGATAGTGTCAGATTGAATTGGATTAAAGGACACTGAGCTAATGTCCACTGGAGTATGCATGGCAGAATTGTGTAGTTTGTGTGGGGGACCCTCCTCCCAGACACACACATCTGGGATCACAGAGGAGTCTGGGTTGTATAGTAGGAGAAACAGATTTGTATCCCCCCCCATCATCCCCCCACCCTAGGGAATACAAAAAAATGTTTAGTCTGAAGAATCCACTAGAAAGACCAGGTGTTTTTCCCCCTTCTTAGATCCAGTTGCTCAAGATTCTTCTCTTTGCCAAGAGGAAAATTCAGAAGAAGATAAAATGGTTGCAGTTCTTTCAAATACTGAATCATGTGTAAGTTTCCTTTCCCTGGTTTTCATTCTTAAGTGAATACTGAACTGGACTCTTTAGTGGTAAAGATAATTCAGGCCAAAAAAAAAAAAAAAAATTGAAACAAGGACCTTAAAGTTTATTTTTCACATTTTATTTGAGTTCACAGATTGTGTTACAAGTTGGAATAAACAAAAACATTTGGGACTGGGATTATGGCTCAATGGTAGAGCGCGCACCTAGCATGTGCAAGGCCCTGAGCCATATAAAAATAAATAAATACATAATTAAAAAAAGGTATTGTGTCTAACTACAACTAAAAAACAAATATTTCAAAACAAAAACAAAAACATTTACTAACATTCAACAGTTAATCCTGTAGAAAATTAGTCAGGTGGAAATAGAGCTGTATTTCCTTTATATGATCAAGAGGATCTCCAGCTGAGTAGTGTTGGAATCTTCACAATATCAATAAAAGATAAGGAATTGCTGCTGAGTGCAGTGGTACATCCTGTAATCCCAGCTACTCATGAAGCTGAGGCAGGAGGATCACAAATTCAAGGTTAGCCTTGACAACTTATCAAGATGCTGTCTCAAAAACTAATTCTCAAAAACTAATTCAGGAGTCTTAAGGTAGGAGGATCACAAGTTCAAAACCAACCTTAGCAACTTAGGGAGATCTTGTCTCAAAATTAAAAAAAAAAAAAAAAAAAGGCTAGGGATGTTGCTTAGCATGCACAAAACACTGGATTCAGTCCCCATTACCGAAAAGAAAAGACATCATTGCCATTAACCAGTGTTTTCTGAACACTCTAGCCAATGCAGCAAGCATTGGTATTAAAGAGGCAAATGTGTATTCGCAGACATTGTCTATTTTCAAAACCTCAACAAAAGCAACTGAAAAAGTACTGAAACTTGTAGTAATATCTGGGAAAATAGTTGGTTACAAATCAATAAGTTTCCTATAAAACAGTAATCACCAGTTAGGGGAAAAAATACCTTTTTTTTTTTTAGTACTGGGTATTGAACCCACAGGGGCTTAACCACTGAGCCACATCCCCAGTCCTTTTTATTTTAAAACAGTCTTGCTAAGTTGCTTAGGGCCTTGCTAAGTTACTGAGGCTGGCTTTGAACTTGTGATCTTCATGCCTCAGTCTTCCGAGTCAGACCACCATACTGAGTGGTGGGGGATTTTATTCACAAGAATGAATTAACAGTGCTGTAGCAGGCCAGTGATTACTCCAAAAACTATGTCTTTTTTCCAATTCCTGCAACTTGTGAATGTTTCTTCCTTTGGAGGAAGATCTTTGCAGGTGTGATTAAATTAAGGGTTTTAAAATGTCTATCCTTGATTATATGAGCAGGCTCTGAATGCACTGTAAGTTCCCCCAATAGAGTTTGAGAGAGAGTGAGTGTACTAGGAAGAGATGATGATATAAAAGAGGGAGGTGATTTCAATGGATAGTGCCACAAGCCAAGGAAAGCTGACATCACCAAAAGCTAGAAGAAACAAGGAACAAGTTCTCCCCCCAGATCCTCTCAAGAGAGTGCAGTTCTACCAACACAGTGAGCTCTGATTTCTGGTTCCAGCTTTGTGAGAGAATACATTTCTGTTGTTCAAAGCAACCAAAGCCATGGTAATTGGTTACATGGTATTACATCAGCAGGAAGCTAATGCAATAATAGGCAGACACTCTGTTATACTGCGTCTCAAAAAGTCATGCGGAGGATGCTACAGAAAGTGAATTTAAAGAGTCAGTCTACTTGTTTATAAATGTGGAGCTATTACAAGTGCAAGTACAGATTGAATACAGATTCTGTAAGAGGATATAGAAAATAGTTACTGCATATAACTGGAAGTTAAAATTTGGAATATAATTGCTAATGATATTATGTATTTAATTACTACCTGTAGTTAGCTTATATTAATTCTGCATATTTGGGGTTTGGTAATGTAAATCATACCCTTCACTCATAATTTTCCTTTTACTCGTAGGAATCAATATGTTAGAATTAACTTGACCAATAGAGAATTCTTATACAGTATTGACAACAGAGACTGGATGGGAGAGGCAGGGTTATGAAATACCCTGTTCTTTGTCACTTGTATTAATCACATAATAGCTACTCCATAGTTACTTTGAAATTTTTAAAAACTTGAATACTGTCAAAATCATTTATTTATATGCTAACCACTTCTCTGCATCCTTAGGGTCTGTCTGGAAATAATACAATGCAAAATGACTATGTTTGGTGTTTTAGGAAACCATAACATTCAAGGATGTGACTGTGAATTTTTCCAGAGGAGAATGGAAGAAGCTGGAGCCCTCTCAGAAGGAGCTATATAAGGACGTGCTACTGGAGAACTTAAGGAACCTAGAATTTCTGGGTAATGACATCCTCTTTATGATCTAGCATCTAAGCTGGGTATCTTTTTGTCCCCTGTTATAGAAAGATAAATACTGTACTCATGTAAATATTTTAACTTTGTTTTGACTGAGCACTCAGGGATTAAAATGACTAATCCTAAAAATGGATCAGAAAACTGTACTTTTCTGCAAAATTACCTCCAAAAGGTCTTTGCTTCATTCAGTGGGAAGTGTGCAGCATTGTTGAGAGCCGCAGCGGTTCCAAACACTGCGCAGAAGGCAGGGCGCCTTCGGAGGGCGAAAGCAGGAGGGTTAGAAGGGCGTCCCCCTGGCTGCGCTCCTGGGCCATTCTGAACTTTCTCCAGACGCCAACATGGACTGACTTTGATAGGGACCACCAGGCACAAGGGGCGGCTGTCCGGCCAGCTGCGGTCTCGCGCAGAACCCGCTCCGCATGTCCCCCCCCCACCGCCAGCGTGGCATGTGCATCCAGTCCGGTGGCGCTGCTATCGGGCGTTCCCTTTCGGGTCCCTTTCTGCAGGGAGAAGCGGCCCAGTGACCTGTCCAATCCATGCGCAGGAGCCTCCAGATCCGAGGAAAAAGGGTGGCTCGGGTGTTGAGAGCCACGGCCAGGTCAAGATGGTGCCTGGCATTTGCCAGAAGGGGGGCTCCTGCTGCACAGTTCTTGTGGGTGGAGTTCGCGTGGGTGAGAAAATAAAGTTCATTCCTGCTTGAATCTACAAGTGGCTCGTGACCCCCCTGTTATTTGTGCCCAGCCAGACTGCGGCACAGCATCATTTGGTTATCAGTGCTCTCCCTTCCCCCATTTTCTCCTTGAATTCTAATATTGATGTCTGTTTCATTTCATCTTTCCTAGAGAACCAGAGGCTTAAGTTTGAATGTTGGGACATCTTTGTTGTATGCATGAGCAGTCATTTACCATTCTTTTCTCTATGAGCAGGCTCTTCAGTTTCCCAGTTAGATGTGATTTCCCAGCTAAATTGGATTGAATTGCCAAGGGTGCTGGCCAAAGAAATCTCAAAAGACTCCAGACCTGGTGAGTTGGTGAAAGGTAGGTAAGAACCTTGAATGCAGTTGCTCACCAAGTCAGTTGGGAAGAGCCTTTGTAATGTTGGGCAGCCTATATGCTAAAACATAAGGATGTGGAAGAGCCCTGCCCCTTTTGGAATGTTCTTTTTAGTTTGAGAGACTGTTGGTTTTGGTCCTTTGAGATGTAGATGCCAAGGGTGATTTCCCATGCAAGAGATTTATTTTGGAAAATTCCAATGAAAACAAATGGGAAGGGAGCTGGAAGAAGCCAGAGAGCTATTACAGCATGATGTAAGTTTAACCTCTATGAATGAGGCGGGGAAGGGGGAAAGATTGGGAAGGAAGAATCTTGAACTGAAGAGTAGTTGTGAGAAAGTTTTTCCTTTATCATTCCCTGTATCTTCCTAAAATTTACTAATTTTTCATTAAAAAATGTTTAAAAATCATACATATCAATACTTTCATTTATTTTAAGAAAACCAGTAATCCTTTTTTAAAAAAAAAATTTTTTTGTAGTTATAGATGGACAGCATACCTTCATTTTATTTGTTTATTTTTATGTGGTGCTGAGGATTGAACCCAGTGCCTCACACATGCAAGGCAAGCACTCTGCCACTGAGCTATAGCCCCAACCCCCCAAAACAGTAATCTTTCTCATACTATTTCATCTCCTAGACCATAATCTTTTTTTTTTTTTTTTTTTTTTTGGTACTGGGGATTGAACTCAGGGGCACTTGACCACTGACCCAAATCCCCAGCCCTATTGTGTATTTTATTTAGAGACAGCGTTTCACTGAGTTGCTTAGTCCCTTGCTTTTGCTGAGGCTGGCTTTCAACTCATGATCTTCCTGCCTCAGGCTCCTGAGCTACTGGGATTATAGGTGGGCCCCACCATGCCCTGCTTAGACCACATACATTTAATTTTATTTTATTAGTATGAGGGGTTGAATCTGGGAGTGCTGTACCACTGACCTACCTTTCCAGCCCTTTTTAAAATTTTTGTTTTGAGACAGGATCTCATCAAGTTGTCAAGGCTTGAACTTGCAATCCTCCTGCCTCAGCCCTCTAGCTCTTGAGATTGCAGGTGTGTGCCACTAAGCCCAACTTCTAGGTAGTAGGAAGTTTTAAGGCCAAAAGAATAGGATTGAAAGTGCTGTAGTGTATGAGGGACAGGAAATGGATGCCTGATTAGAGCATCCTAAAGTTGATAAGGCCAAGTTGCTGTAACCTTTAAAGAGTCTAGCATATGTGATACTGCTTATCTGTGATGTGATCAACATTTTCTATAAAATTAGTGCTGTTTGTCTGCTTTGAGGAGTCTACGGTTTAGGGATCAAAAGCATGAATCTTGATGTCAGACTGAAATTTTTAGCTTTACCACTTATAATATATGTGACCTTCCGCAAGCTGCTTATGCTTTATGTAACCAGTTGTCACACTCATGAAATGGGGATATGAGTAGGACCTACTTCACTCGGGGGTTGTGAAGATTAAGTAAAATAATACAGATAAAGTGTTCAGCATGGCACCTGGTACTTGGTAAGTAGGCAACAAATGTTTGTGTTATCATTGTTTGAAAAGAGAGAAGTTTGGATGTAGGGAGGATAGGTTTAAGCCTGTTAGAAAAATTCAAAATAAGGGTAAGAATTTGCATCTCTAACTATGTCACACCACCTTTTCATCTTCCTATTTGTCCTAACCCTTGTTTTCATCTTGCTTTGCTGAACTGCCTTTCTGCTTCCTGTTTTATAAACCTCCATTTGAGAATTATCCAAGCCAGATTCCTTATCATTACTGTCTATGTTCCTATTTTAGTCCCAAATACAGTAGCTTTCTTTATTGCAAACAGAAATATTCTATTGTGATCTCTTTTAGAGAGTGAGCCTAGGGGTGAGTTGGAGCCGTCTGTTCAAAAGCACGATGTGCTTATTGAAGGATCAACTTCAGAGGAAATAATAGAAAGATGCTTCAAGGATGATGGTTGTGGCTTGACTGCAGAATTAAGGAAGCGTTATGGCAGATCTGATGAGGGTCATGGCAAACGACATTCAAAAGGAACACATAAGAAAGCTCATCAGCGAGGCAGTAAAGGTGAAGACTTTGACTCAGAAAGGAGCCCTGGTGCAAAGCACTTTAAACGAACTTCTGACTTGATGAAACATGTGAGAGCCTACTTAAGGAAGAAGTCGCGGAGGTATAATGAATCCAAGAAACCCTTCAGTTTTCATTCCGATCTTGTTCTGAACCGTAAAGAACATTCTTCAGAGAAGTCACAGAAAGGCGGAGAAGGTGGGAAGAGCCTAAGTCATTCTTCATCTCTTAGTGAACATCACAAACGTCAGAAAATACATTTGGGAGATAAGGCCAAGTGCAGTAAATGTGGGGTGTCCTTTGCCAAAAGCTTATCCCGTACTGAGAGAGAAAAGATGATGTGTGAAAAATGTCAGAAGAAGTTACAACAAGATACAACCTTAAATAAAGATGAGGGACCTGAGACCGGAAAAAAAACTCATAAATGTAGTAAATGTGGGAAAACCTTTAGCTGTAATGCCTCACTCACCAAACATAGAAAGCACACTGGAGAGAAATCCTTTATGTGTAGTGAATGTGAAGAAGTTTTCGGTGATAGTTCATCGCTCAAACGACGACGTCGCAATAGAGAAAAGCCCTTCAAGTGTGATGATTGTGGAAAAAGTTTCAGCCTGAGCACTCACCTCATTAAACATCAGCGAATTCATACTGGAGAAAAACCCTTCATATGTAAAGACTGTGGGAGACCCTTTAGTGAAAGTTCTTCTCTTGCTCAACATCAGCGAACTCATACTGGAGAAAAACCCTATAAATGTAACGATTGTGGGAAGTCCTTCAGTCATAGCTCTTCCCTTTCCAAACATCAGAGAATTCACACTGGAGAGAAACCCTATACATGTGAAGACTGTGGAAAATCCTTTAGACAGAATTCTTGCCTTACTCGACATCAGAGAATTCACACTGGAGAGAAGCCGTATTTGTGTAAGGATTGTGGAATGACTTTTAGCCATTTTACATCTGTCATTTATCATCAAAGACTTCATTCAGGAGAAAAACCCTACAAATGTACTGAGTGTGAGAAAGCCTTTCCTACTCATTCCCTCCTCAGTCGTCATCTGAGAATTCATACTGGTGTGAAACCTTACAAATGTAGCGAATGCGAGAAAACCTTCAGTCAGAGTTCATCTCTTAATGAACATTACAGAGTTCACACTGGAGAGAAACCCTACGAATGTGACTTTTGTGGAGCAACCTTTAGTCGGAGTTCAGTCCTCGTAGAGCACGTAAAAATTCATACTGGCAATAGAGAATATGAATGCAACAAATGTGATAAAATATTTAAAAGTAATTCAAGTCTTATCAGACATCGGTTATTTCACTCTGCAGAGTAATTCTGGGAATATAGTAAGGCAGGAGAAATTCAGTCCAAAATGTCCCCTTATCATCTCCTTACATACACACCTGGAATTTAAATTACCATAACATTTATGAGTAACTGCAACTTGAATGGGTTGGCAGCTAGGAGGAATGTGCATCTTCATTCATTTCTCTTACCAAGGATGTCAACTGCTGGTTGGTAAAGTTATGTGGAAAGAGAAGAAGGTATGTGATGTGAAATGCTTCTAAAAAGCCAAAATTATATTTGAAAAGTTCTTTCCTTTAGTGTATTTCTCTTTCTTTGGCTCTTCTTTCACTGCCACGTAGCATTATGGAAAGAGAACTTGACTGGATTCAGATTACTTGGGTATGTCCCCATTTGCCAACCAACTCACCATATAACCTTGCACAAATAACTTGACCCTTCTGAAGTTTAGTTTCTTTGCACGTAGAATGAAGGGATGGGGCTATTGATTTCTAAGTTTCATTTTGTATCTATGATATTCTCTAATGCTATGGAAATCATTTAAACATTTTTCGTCCTTTAGAATGTTTTCATTTGCTTAGTAGAAAACTACTGTGTTGCAGGATACTGGACGTATGATAATGTGATATACTCTTTGAATACTTGATGCAGGAATCCCTAGAATGTGATAAATAGGAACAGATCAGGGAAGCTCAAATAAGTTTGCCTTCAGGGAATGTTCTAATCACACAAATCACCACAATCTTTTTTTCTTTTGAGTATTGGCTAAGGGGGTTGAAAATATAAGAATTTGCACCTGAGCCAATTGAGCCATGCATCATAGGAAGATAGATTGAGGGTGATAGAAAAGACACATGCTGAAAATAGCTATTCTGGATGGATTTTTTTTTATTTTTTGCAAAATAGAAGTGTATATTTTTTAAAAACTTTGTAGCAAGCACAGCTTCCTGTAATTACAGTGTAAGCATTCTGTATAGCAAAGGTCACAATCAGATTGGGTCAGAGTGGGCCCTTGGACATGTTTTTGGTGTGTGTGTGTGTATAATTGTCACTATTTTAAAATTAGGGAATTCCATGTTAATACTATCATACTGCGCCCTTATTTCTGTGGAACACTCAGCTGGTTCTGAGTAGCAGCTGCCACCTTGAGATGGATAACACACTCTCATTTATCAAGTTATTTCATGTATATAACCTGACTTTTCCTCTGTAGGAATTTGATATTTTGATCCCGTACCATCTGGAAAATACATAGACTGAAACCCCATTGATAGCTAGTGCGATTCAGGAAAAGAATGTAGAATTGATAAGAATAATTGCTCAGTTATATTTTCTGTTGTGTGTGAGAGTAGACCTTGAAGGAATGGAATATACGGGTATTGATGGATATTCTTTAAAAATTTCATTGAGGAGTCTGAATAATAATTTCTAACTGAAAAAGGAACTAAAGATCCTGAGTGAGTTAGGTTTGGGTGTCAGGTCACTGGGTTCTAGAGAATCCCCACGACTGAAGAGTGGTACAGAAATGAGTTCCTAAGGTTGAAATTTGAAACAGCTCCTGTAAAAAGAGAACTTGAACCATAAAACTCCGCGCTTGTGGAAATAAAGAGATCCTTAATGCTGATGTGAGACTCAGGAACATTTGCTGTAATGTAACATGTTTGGTTTGAAATGCTACCTCTGGATGTAGGGTTTTCGGTTTCTTCTGGTGCCTCCTTCATCCCCCCACCCTCAAAGCCTGCAGTTCAGAGTCTGCTGTGTGACAGCTTGATCTGCACAGTTACCGCTGAATGGACCAACCAGACGCACTCTAGCCATGGAAGGAATGTCACCTAAGGATCATCCACATTGGTGTAAGTTTTTTTTTTTTCCTCATAAGATATAATTTATGGGAAGAATTAAGAGGAATATGTAAAACTCTTAAAGTTATTTTAGGATGTTTCATGGTTAGACCCACCCAGTTTGCATGAGAGGATGTTTTATCCTGGTGTCAGTTGGGAATCTAGAGCACAAACTTTGTTTTTCAACTTTTTAAGGTATAAATTATATATAATAATAATAAAAAAAGCAAAACCACACACACAGTTTAAGTATGCAGTTCAGAGAGTTTTAGTAAATTTACTGAGTGTGCAGCCATTGCCATAACCCGCTTTTAGAACATCACCTTAATCAGATCCCTTAAGATTTTTTCCATCTCCCCTTCCTACCCCTACTCCCAGGCAGCACTAGTCGATCTACCTTCTGTCTGTGGGGTTGCCTTTTCTGGATTTCTTTGTGGTTTTAATTTGCATTTGCCTGATGACTGATTATGTTGATTTATCTTTCATGTGCTCTTTAGCCATTCATATAAGTCTTCTTTGTTAAAATGCCTACTCAATCTCTTTAAAAATTGAGTTGTTGTTAATTGAGTTACAATAGATCCTTTACCTGGATACAAGTTCTTTATACAGTACAGCTTTGTAAATATTGGGTAGCTACTGAGGGAAACCATAGACCCTACTGCACAATATTTATCAGTAACTAAGTATGTATAATTGCCTGAATGACGTTCAGTCTGGCCCATCACCCATGTACTTAAATCCATCATTGGAATAAGTCAGATCAAGAGCTTTTCAACTGCTCACTCCTCATAGAATTGATTTTATTAAGCTTTATTTAGAATTTTTGTTCTTGTTTACATGGATGAGTGTTAAAGTTAGCCCTGTGACAAATTTTATTTTACAGTGAAGCTCGCGCTTTAAAAAATATTTCCCAGTAATGAGTTTCTTTTGAAGAAATTTCTTTCAAGTCACAGGAAAAGACAAGATTTCTTTGTATGAATTCTTTTTCTTTCTGGGGATAGAGCCCAGGGACTCATGCATGGTGAACAGACACCACCACTGAGCCACATCCCCACCCTTGAATTCACTCTTATTTTACCTATTTTAGAATTCTTCTTTAATGTAATAAAATATACATAATGTAAAATTAGCTGTTGGGGTCCATTTTGTGTTGTGTAATTCAGTAGCATTAATTACATTAACATGTTCGTAAAATCATCACTGTTTATCTCCAGGACTTTTCCATCATCCCAAACTGAAATTCTGTACTCATTAAACCATAACTCATCATTTCCCCTCATTGTGACCACTATTCTAATTTGTCTACATATTTGAATTTTAGACACTTCACATAACTCGAGCTCATATAACGTTTGTTCTTTTGTGTCTGTCTTATTTCACTTTGCATAATATTTGGTAAACATTCCTTTTGTTTCAAGGAAATGTTGAATTGGATTTTCTAGTTCAGGAAATCTTTATAAAATTCTTTTATAAGTCATCCAGATAACAGTGATAAAGAACCCAAGATCATGTATTGTTTTATGCTTTTTTGGTTCCATAACTAGCAGTGAGTATTCCATAGCATTTGTACATATGCATATGTCCTGAAGAATTTTAGTGACTATCCATATCTCATCTTGGGATCTGCTTCAGAAAACTGAACAAGAATATCTTCAATATGAATTGTACACTGGAATAAAGCAACGAGAGGTTATTTTGCTTTTAAATTCTGATGTATCTGGTCTTTGACTTAGCATAGCTAGAATTCCATCTTCACAGTACAAATTAATCTCTTGTTGAAATTCCTCGACTGATGGAAATTGATCAAAAATATCTGTCATGAATTTGAGATTTTAGGCAATGAATTGACATTTCTTTGTAAATTTGGATGTTCTTTGAAAACAGAATATACCCAAAGTTTTCCTTGAGCAGTGTCTTATATCACACAATTCCTCTGAAACTAAAACTTGAAAATTTTCAAATTTTGAATCAATTGATCTTTGATATTATTAGAAACATATGCCTATATATTCTGTTAGCAAAATATAATTTGTTCATGTATATTCTATGAGCAAAATTGTTAAATGGTACAATCGAATATTTCAGGGTTTGTTTTTTTTTCTATCAGGGTTTTTTTGTGTGTGTTTTTTAAGAGGTCTTAAAATTTTCTAAATAAATTATCATATATAAAATAATCTCTTCTTTTTTTTGTGGCAGTGCTGGATGCTTAAATGTAGGGCCTTGTGCATGCTAGACAAGTGCTCTGCCACTGAGCTACACCTCCAGCCTGACTCTTTTTATCTTTCAATCTAACGTTCTTTTTTTGTGTGTGGTCATGTAAGAATTAAGCTGTTTTAATAGTGCACTGTGTTTACAAACAGTCTGCTAAAACTTTTAAAAATTGTTTTGTTAGAAATTTAATTCTCATTTCTTATGACTAATTTTGTGAATTATTTTTTGACTAATATGTTCAAAAAATTAGTAATTCTTAATTATTGTCTTCAGTGTTGCCTTTTATGTTATCATCAACGCTTGAATTCAACAGCCTTTTCTTTTCATTTTGCTGTAAATTGCAATTGGTATTGATCTTTGAATGTGCACTATACTCTCCTAGTCCCGTTTTTGCTGGTTGTAGTACTAGCTTCTGTATCTGCACTGAATTTTGCCTCAATGATATGCCTTGTTTAAAATTTAAATATTTTCCATATATTTTTGCCTAGAAAATAATTATAATAGCAAATATCTCAATTTAATGATTATGATTTATGTGCAAAACACTGTAACTTGTGCTGTCTGCATAGGTATATTCTAACTTGTGCTACCTACGTAAAATATCCAAGTAAACCCACCATAATATTCCATCCGTGCATAGAAAAAAGTCATCTGAACTGAATTAGTCTGTTGATACTGACTAGATTGGTGATATGTTTGTACGTAACACTAAAAATAATGCACGTTCCATACAAGTGTTAGAAGACCAGTGTCCTATGTGATGCAGTGGTTAAAGTGAATTGTAGTTCTGTCAAGACAATAAAGTTGTGTTTAATGAAAAAATATTTCCCTGTGCTTCTGTTTTGAATTCTGTTTTGGTACTGGGGATCAAACCTAGAGGCACTTAGCCACTGAGCTACATTCCCAACCCTTTTTATTTTTTGAGATGGGTCCTTGCTAAGTTGCTGAGGCTGACTCTTTTTTTTGCGGGGGCGGG